TTAGATATTTGGAAAGAGACGTGTTCTCTAAAAATAAAACTCTGATCTCTGGTTTTCTGTGTAGATTTCTAATTTCATGATTCAAATATCAACTTCAAGTTCCATGAATTCATTATGCTACCAGAGCTACTAAATAAAATTACATTGCCACATAACAGAGTAAGGACAACTTTAAAAAGAAAATGTGCTAATTAGAGCTTTTCTTTGATCTTGGATTGCACCAAATTTTCTTTCTTAGTTTTCAGGTGTTTGTTTTTCATTTTCTTATAAAGGGCAGATAGCCAAAAAAGAAAGGAAAAATTAAAAAACAGATTTTGCTTAAGTAACCATCATGAATCCTTATTGCCTGCATCTATGAAAAGTTTTGTTTATATTCAGCAAGCCTTAATTATCTGGAGTCCCATCAAGTGTACAAGCCATATGTCTTAGATTTTACCTCTATTTGTTCCATCTTTCCAGAATATCAGCATTAGATCATTAAAGTATATTATACCTTTATGAAGAAGTTTGAAAAAAATATGGTCTTAAAATTTTACTTACTTTTTAATACAAAACAGTTTGCTTTAAATTTTCTTCTCTGAACTCATGTGGATAATTTAACCACTGGGCCAACTTAGATACCAGTGTACATTAAAGGCAAAATATGTTTTGTGCTACAAACTCAGGTATTCATCAATACTTGAGGAAATATGGAATATAAACTTAATTGAGAGATTGGCTAATTCTCAGTGGTTTAAAGCAAACCGTTTTTCATTGGTAGTTAATCATCTAAAGTAAACTTAAGATATTATTATTCAAAGTATACTGAATATGCATTAGGACAATATATTTGGTGAATATCAGTAACGTAATCATTTTATGATGGAAATAAGACTGGTATGGTTGCACAGACCTATGATTCCAACAATATGAATGCAGAGGCAGGAATACGGCAAGTTCAAGAAGGCCAGTCTAGCCTACACAATGAGATGTTGTATGACAAAGCAAAGGGCTGGCGATGGAGTTCTGAGGCAGTTTATCTTCTTACCGTACAGAAGACCCTGAGTCTCATCCCTTAGTTCCTCCAAAAATATGAGAGATACTAGGAATAGTAAGAGAAAGAATATGAAAAAAGTATGTTAAAAGAAATAAAATGTACAAATATAACTTTGATTTAATCCTCCCCATCAAGAGAGAAAATTTTATAGATTTCCTGTTAGCACTTGCATGCTCTGTCTTGAAGCAACCTCAAAGCAGATTTCATTATGTTTATTGGAGGTTTTTTTTTTTTTTTAATTGCTTTGGGGCTGGAGAGATGGCTCAGTGGTTAAGAGCACTGACTGCTCTTGCAGAGGACCCAAGTTCTATTCCCAGCACCCACATGGCGGCTAACAACCATCTGTAACTCCAGTTTCAAGGGATATGACACCCTCTTCTGACCTCCGCTGGCATTGCATGACATGTTTGCACCTACCTACATGCAGGAAATACACTCATACACATAAAATAATAATAGCCAGTCATGGTGGCACATGCCTGTAGTCCCAGTACTCGGGAAGCTGTGAGATTGAGGCCAGCCTGGTTTACATAGTGAGTTCCAGGTCAGCTGAGGCTGCAGGGAGACCCTGTCTCAAAAAGGCCAAAAACAAACAAATAAATAAATAAATAAAATATTTTTAAATGCTTTATTTTTATTTATTTGTATGTATGTATTGAACAAAAATTCTTTCAATCAGAGCTTTCTTTATGGCTTTATAAAAACCCTTCTTCATGATTTTTGTTTTATTTTTTAGAATTTCATATGTGAGTATTGTATTTGCATCATTTCCACCCCTCCCACTCCCTCTTCTAACTCCTGTCATGCCCCCCTTGCCGTCTCTCAATTTATTTTTCTCTTTTTTATTGTTGAATGTACATACATTGATATATATGTGTGTGTATATATATATATATATATATATATATAGTGAACTGAGTTCATTTAGTGGTGCTTGTTTGTACATGTGTTTAATGTGCCCACTTGGCATTAGATAACCCATAAGGGAACTCACTTATACCTGGAGAAAATTGATGTGCCTTCCCTCAGTATCCTATATATTACCTATAGTTCTTCATCTACAGGTAAGATCCTGTGAAATGCCCCTCATCCACATTGGCATGTCAACTTGTGTTGGCAATATGCAAGCCTTGTTAGGCAATTATATTGTTGAGATTTCATGGGTGCAACTTCCCTATCATGTCTAGAAGACACTATGTAGCTGTAGATGTCATGTTCTTCTAGCTCTTACAATCATTTTGTGCCCTCTTCTTTAATGCTCCCCTGAGCATTAGGTGTAGGGGTTTCTTTGTACATGTATCTGTTGGAGCTAGGCATCGTACAGTCCTTTATTGTCTGAATTTTGGTCAGTTGTAGAAATTTGTAATGGTATCCATCTATTGTAAAAAGAAGCTTCTTCAGTGGGCGATGAGAGTTGCATATTTCTATGAATGTAAGGTTAATTATTTAGAATACAGTAAGAAATTACATTTCTCTAGGAAAGTGGCACTTGTAGATTCTTCTCTAGGATCCCTCCAACCATGTGTACTTGGCTATGTTTATAGTGCCAATCATGGATTCCCTCCTACTGAGTGGGCCTTAAGTCCAATCAGAAGCTGTTCATTACCCCCAAGATAATAATGCCACTGTTGCATCAAAACGCAATCATTTAAAACAATGGCAAAACTCTGTATCCTTAACTTACTACCACAATTACTTTTCTTAACTTCCAAAGTGTGTGTGTGTGGTGGTGGTGGTGTGTGTGTGTGGTGTATGTGTTTATCTAGTATATTAGGATTAAAATTATTTTAGAATTCCATCTCACCCCATTCAGATTGTCAACCATTAGGAAAATAAGCTCGTGATGGTTGACTATTTGAATATATGCAATGCTTCTGAAATACATACTTAAAATTGTCATGATAAGGAAATTTTATGCTGTGTGCAGTTTCAATAAGCAGATGAAATAAAAGTAAAAGAAGAAAATAAATAACAAACCATGGCCAGGTTGTCAAAAAAAAGTGAAACTTTTATACACTGATGGGAATATAACCTAGCCCAGGCAGTATGAAATCAGTATCGTGCTTCATCACAAAACAATGTAAATCAGCTACATGACCCAGTTAGAGCACTACTGGGTATTTACCTGAAGGACTTCAGAGCAGCATAACAGGGGTACTTGGACATCAGTATTTATCGCAGCCTTCTTCATAATAGTTAAGTTATATAAGCAACGTTTGTGTCCAATTAGCAGAAGAATGTATAAACAAAAGATCACAGACACGTAAACACACACACACACACACACACACACACACACCTTACTTGAATTTTTCACAAATACAGATGAGTGTAGTTACATCATTTCCAGGAAAATTGATGAATTGGAGATAATTCTATTGAATCAATTAAGTTGGTTTCAGAATAACAATTATTGCATGTTTCTCTAATCTGTATTTGCTAGATTTTATATAGTAACATACAATCGTATATGTACATATGACATGAAAGTAGAATCAAAACTGTCTAGGGAGGAAAGGGTACTAATGGAAGGGAGGAGGCAAGAGAAAGAATAGGTGGTAGCAGGGTATGTGGAGGAATGTGCACAAAACACATATACTTGGAAGAAAGTGTCCTTATGTAACTCACTACCATATACAATGAAAAAAATTGAGCAGAGCTATAAAGTTTAAAATATCTTGAATATGAAATGTGTGCACAATTATGCTATGGATGTTTCTTTTTAAATCAGTTTAAAGAATGGAAATTCCACCTATTTGGAGTAGGACTACTTCCCAAGCCTATGGAGGCACAAAGAATAACCACAGTCCTTGGTCTTCAGACGTCTGTCGTGGTTCATTTCAATAATCCCACACAGGAAGACGTTTCCATTGACCTCATATTAACAAGTAGGTTGATTTTATTGAATTATATAGATAATGACTGTATTTCTTTCATCATAGAATCAAAATGTTTTATAAAACAGAAAACATATAAATGACAGAGGAAATATGATGGCTGAAATCATAAATAGTGAATCCAGAATCAAATTACATATTTATATACTGAATAATGATCTTTCAAACTTATCTTTAAATTCAAATATAACTAGGCCATCTTTAAGATTTTTTCGATATTATCTATATATCCCAGGGCATATGATATAGAAATTTATAGAAAGTCTAGTGCTATGATTTTTGTTTCCTTCATCCCATGTTTCTCACTGCGAATATTTTTACTAACCTGATTCTAACCATTCTTGCTTGTTCTTTTTTCATGCCATATTGAACATGTGTACTTTTAAATTAGATGGTATAGAGTATTTAATATCTTTATGTTAGTGACTGACTATTGTGAGACCAAAATAAATCAATTTTTTGATAATAAGATAAAAATTAACTAAATGTGTTGACACAGCCATATGTGTATACAATGCATTCTGATTACTATTATTCCCCCATTCCCTTGTATCCCTCATTCCCCTCTTCTTCCTACAAGTCTGCCTTCCATATTTGTGTGCCTTTGTTTAGTTTTGAGATACAAGGCATTTTTTTAACTAGGGACACTTGTGTGACTGGAAGTTTAAACTCTCCTGTGGCCTCTTGGGCTCACCACGGTTACAAAGATGATGACAGTGACTCCCCATTTCCTAGCATCTATCAGTGCCCATGTTCAATAGAGGAGGAGGTTGGGCCATTTGAGCTGTCCCTCATCCATGATCTGATGTTGAGAGGCTCATTCTTGTGCAGGCTCAGGGTAGGCAAGCTCAGTGTATTGAGTTCATGATTGGAATGGTTATCATGCATAGATGATGGCTTCCATAGCCATTTTTCCTGTTTCTAGTTTTCTTTCAGACTCCTTTACTGTAATGTTCCCTGAGCCCTAGAGAAGGTAGTATAAATATCCTATTTATAACTAAGCCCTCAACCTTAACTTATTCTCTGCATTTTGAGCACTCAACTGTCCCTATATTTGGACACCTTTTGCTGAAAATTGAGGCTTCTCTGATTAAGGCTGAGAAAAGTATTTGTCTAAGGTTACAAACATAAATAATTAGAGGGTAGTTTGACACTGTCAATTTAAGTAAAGAACATTAGCAGTTTCCTCCATCAGGTAAATTACTTCCCAAAGCATGTAGTTTTGCCCTGAGTTTACAGTACCAGAATTCCATCATGGAATGGACCTCAAGTCCAATAAAAAAACTGGTCAGCAGGGCCTGTAGAGATGATTCACTGGTTAATAGCACTTGATGCTCTCCCAGAAGACTCAAGTTCAGTTCCCAACACCCACATCTAGTGTTTCACAACCACTTATAAATCCTAGTTGTAGGTGATCCAATGCCCTCTTCTTGCTTCTCTAAGCACTTATTCCAAAGTGGCATACAAACACAGGTATACACACACACACACACACACACACACACACACAACCTCTTTAAGAGGATGGTGTGATAAGAATAGGAGGTAAGAATTGGCTAGGCAGTTAGGGTAAAAAAGACCCCAAGGAAAAGTAACCAGTTTCTTGGCTAAAAGTCAAAATGTCCTTGGGCCTCTTAGCAACATACTCTGTTCCAAAGCCCAAAAATGTCAAAAGTATTTTGGAGCTCTAATCTAATCCTTAAAAGATTTTAAGGTTACCTCTTCAGAGGGGGGAACGTTGGAGGGGAGGGAGTGGGCATGGATTTGATCAAAACACCTTATATGCATGTATGAAATTCTCAATAAAGTTTTGTATAAGTTAAAAAAAAGAAAATGCAAAAAAATTGTGGTTTCACAGTACACATAGGGTCATGTTCACACTACACAGTAGCCTATTAAGGGTATAGTAATATTATGTCTTAAAAATCACAGTGAAAATTAATTTGAGATAGCCATGTCATGTGCAGAAAGATGGCATTTCACAGCACTCCTCCCCATCCTTCAGCTTACACTCGTTCTGTCTCCTTTTCCAGGATGTTCTCTGAGCTTTGGTGGTGGTGGGGTTAATGCAGATGCTCCGTTTGGGGCTGAGCACTCAGTCTTCTATTCTTAGCCCTTTGACCAGTTAGGCATCTTTTTCTTGACTGCTGTCCACTGCAAACAGAAGCTCCTCCCACCAAGGTTGAGAGCAGCTCAGGGACAATTTCAATCATGAACTCACAGCAGCTGTGGTTACCTGCAAAAAACCTATACAAGATCAAGCCCTTAAAATTAGTTGTCAGCATAGATGGGGTAGATGATCTCCACGTCCCACTTACTACAGAGGAGCTATTGTGTGTTGATAGTTGTTGGGGGAAAGAGTCATATGTTTTGGATGATGGGGCCACTGATAGGATTCCCATGCTCTAGTGGAGAGAGTCCCATACCCATGCACATATGGGTAGCCCTAACTAGAATTAGTGTGTTATAAAAAAATATATGAAATTTGGAGAGGGACATGTAGTTGGGGATATTGTTAGTGTTGGGCAGGGGAAAGGTAGTTAGATATGAGCATATTTAATTGTGTATATATATATATATGAAATTTTCAAGAAAAAGCATTTTTAAGTGGTCAATTACTTTCATAACAATCATGCCACTATTATACAATTGGACACATTCTGCCATGCTATTGTTATCATAGTTCATAGAGTTAACAGCTGGGTGAGACTTCTAGTGCCTTTTTTCCTTCAACAGCCTAAATAGCACCTTCTGGCTCTATAAAAGCTTATTAACAGGGAGTAAGTTGCCATCTAAATTCCAGCTTATTTTTGCTACGTCTTGCAATCAAGATATGTAGTGTATTCAACAATAGGTTATCATTATCTAGTTCTGGTCAGAAACCAAGAAGATTGGCAGGAGCCTGCAGTATTTTGGTGAGCTCAAAGACCTCTGTACCCAGCATCTCAGATGGAAGTATGCCATATATAGCACTGTGATTTTTATTTAATAATCCACTAATGCAGCCTTGTGCCGCCTTGAAGGGAATCATTCTTTAATATACGTATCACTTTTTGGGGGGGGATGGAGAGATGACTCACCAGTTAAGAGCACTGGGTGCTCTTGCTAAGGACCTGGGTTGGGTTTCCAGCATCCACATGGTGGCTAGCAACCACCCTAACTCCAGTTCCAAAAAATCTAACACCATCTTCTGACCTCTGTGGACATTGCACAATATGAGTGCACTTACATACATGCAGGCAGTACACGCATACACATAAAATAAAGTATTAAAAAGTATCATTTTTATTTATTTAAAATTACCTATTGAGCTTTTGTACATTTCAAACAACAGTTCTTTATCAAATTTAGACCCCCTCCCCCATCCATGCTCCCTTAACTCCCCACCAGACATCATGTATTCTGTCATACATGTTAAGTACAATCCATTCAACATTTGTTCCCAGATGTCCTTTGGTGAAAATTCATCAATTGGAGTTTAGTCAGCCTATTTTAAGATTGTAAATTAGGCATATTCTCCTTCACTCTGTAGTAAACTGTCCCCAATAGTTCTCAGTCTAGGGCTGGCCTGCCACCCTGGGAGTGAACTCATGGATTGCACTGTAAACAGCCAAATACATATGGCTGGAGAGGTCATATATATCACTTTTAATTGAGTTATAAAATAATAGGTTTGTATGACTTTTTCATAGATCCTTCAAATTGGTTAGCCTTAAACTCTTCCCCTCTTCTCTTCTACCTCCCCACCTCCCTGCTTAAACTTGTTCACCTCCATTATTTCCCCTTTCTATTCTTATATTACATGTTGTACTGGTTGGTTTTTGTCAACGTGAAGCAAATTAGAGTCACCTGGGCAGAGGAAACCTCAACTGAAAAATTGACTCCATCTGATATGTCTATGGTATCTGAGAGGCATTGTTTTCATTTCTAACTGATGTGAGAGGTCGTAGCTGAAGTGGTGCCATCCCTTGCATGTGGTCCTGGACTCTTTAAGAAAGTTGGCTAACAAGCCAGAGGAAGGAAGCCAGTAAGCAGCTTTCTTCCATACTCTCTGCTTCAGTTCCTGCCTCCTCATTCTTGCCTTGAGTTCCTCCTCTGACTTCCATCAGTGATGGATTGTGACCTGAACATTGTAAGAAGAAATAAACTCTCCTTTTCAAGATGTTTTTGGTCACTGTTTGATCACAGGAGAAGAAATCATACCAGAAGACAAATTGGTGCCTAGAGGACAGTCTTGCTGGACCTATCCATGAGTTTTTCTTTTCTGGAGGATTGATGAATCATTTGGAACTTTGCACTGGAAATGCACTGAGCATTGAGAGCTTAACGAATTGTTGCTGTGGAGTTTATATTACTTATATTGAGAGAAGTATGGAAAGCAGATTCTTTGTGCATGAAGTCTCAGAAGGGAATGTGAGAGTCCCTCAAAGACTCTATTGGGGCTGTGTATGTGATATATTTTAGTTAACATTTGGAAGTGAAGATCAGTTGATGTTGGTTATCTGGTATGAAAACTCAGCCGTGATTAATAAGAGACCAGGCTCACTGAGGTGAAATATGCTGGGAAGTGTTTCTTCGGGATTAGAGTACAGAAGCTGTGGTCCACTCTGGGCCATGCTGCATATCAAAATGGAAACTTGATAATAGCAAGCAGAACCTGGTAATTAGTAAGAAACTTCCACATGGTACTAGTTTTAAAGATATGAAGGGGTCATGAAGAGCAGCTAAGTCTTGCACTATGAGAGACCAGGAGAGGCCACTGGTGAAAATACACACTCAGTAATATTAGAGACCCCACTACTTTAAGAATCATGGGGAGATGACAAGCCTTGGAAACATGAGTAGCAAGGAGAGCCCATTACTGAAGGTACAGCATCAGTTGCAGTGAAAGCTCCAGAATATTATGGGTGACAGGACCATAGGATGACGACCAAGGATAACAAGTAGTGTGGAGTGGTGCTGGCCTAAATCTTCCAGGCAAGCTATATTTAAAAGAGTCAGAAAAGTGTGCCTGAACACACCCTTTGTGGCCCAGGAGATCATAAGTATGTCTCACTTGTTGGACACTGAACTTTATCCACTGTTGAATTTTTATTTGACTTTGGTTTAATTGTAACTATGCCCTTGTTTTCCCCTTTTGAAATAAGAAAGTAACTTATTTTCTGTTGCAGGAATTCACAGTTAAGAGAATTATGGTTTTTAAAGAGACCTTAACTTTCATACCATGGGAATTTTTAAAACTGTGGGACTCAAAACCTTTGGATTGTGTTTTATATTGATATTAACATGAGATCTTGGGAAAAGAAATGAAAAATGGCTTATAGTGATGTGTTTGTGTGTCAACTTGACAAGTAGTCAGTTGTGGTGGTCAGTTATTGTCAACTTTTGAACAAACTAGAATCACCTGAGAAGAATAAACCTCAACAAAGACTTTTCCTCAATTGGATTGACCTGTCACTATGTCTGTGAGGCATTTTCTTAATTGCTCATTGGTGTAGGAGAGTACAGCCCACAGCTTGTGGTGGCATCCCTGAGCAGGGATGATAGAGGATAATGCCAAATTGATTGCCAAAATCTGTTATTTGAATACTTAAATATAAAATTCTAATAATTTACTAATGGATTTAAAAGTATTTTAGTATTATAGAGAAAAATTATAATGTTGGATATGTTTTGCAGAATATGTTGCTTAAAGTACATGACAATGGGTCTGGAGAGATGGCTTGGAGGTTAGGAGCACTGGCTGCTCTTGTAGGATCTGGGTTCAATTCCTAGGACCCATATGGTGGCTAACAACCGTCTATAACTACAGGTCCAAGGGATGTGATACCTTCTTCTAACCTCCATGAGTATTGCACAACATGGTTGCACTTACATACATGCAGGCAATAAATTCATACACATAAAATAAAATAATAAAATATTTGAAATTTCATGTCAAAAACATACTTTGAAAAGTTTTGTGTTCTTAAAGGATTTAATTTAATTTCATTGCTAATGAATATTTTCTTCTTGAGTATGACATTAAAGTGTAATGTTTCTTTGTTTTTTAATCAGATAAAGAAGTACCCAAGAATCCTGTACTTGACGGTTGGGACAGCTTCCTCCAAAAGAACACCGCCTTCAGGTTTAGTTCAATGATGCATACAAGAGGTACAAGATTTCTGTCTTATATTCTGTCATTCTATATGCTGCTGCATTTAAAAGATGCTGTATATAGCTGTTCTCTTAATGAATATTTAACTGAACTCAAAGTGATTTTTAAAATTTGTAATAAATTTGGGAAGCTGACAGAAATCATTGATAGTATAGCCTTCATGTGTAGGTATCATATTGAAATTGTTTTTCATTCCATGGCATATGAGAAAGAATTGCCAAATATTTAACTCTCGAAAGATTTTTGTTTGTTTGGTTGGTTTTTGTTTTCTCTTGTTTTTTCAATGAGATTGCTTCTTAGTATGTTACACAGATTGCCCATAAGCTCTTAGACACAAGTAGCCCTCCTACTTCAACCACCTATTTTTGAAAGTTTTAGTCTTCATATATCAAATCAGTTAATACGGGGGTATATTGGTCAAGGAAATCTTTAGAAAATTATAAATAAAATATCGAAAATACTCATAAAACATTATTTCCTTTGCATACTTAATGTTTCCTTGCAAATTTATATTAAGACATATGTACATTACTTCCACATATTAATTCCACCAATATACCAATGAAGTGTAGAAAATAAGGAATTATAAAGCTGCTTAAAAATCTAATATTTGGGCTGACGATATTTCTCAGTGTTATGTAAATGCCTAGTATGTTCAAGGTGCCAAGTTCAATCCCAGCAACACAAACAAATAAAATCCCCTACAATTCAAAAATTATGAATTTGCTTACAATAATGAAGTTTTCAATAACAAAAAATAATTTTTCATAGGTATTATCTCAACAAAAAACCTGTTAGTTAAAATCAACACTGACTAATATGAAATGGGTTAATTAACTCTTTCCCTTTATTTTAGTCATCTATATCAGCATCTCTTTATAAAGCAAAGCTGTAGTTTGTTTAAACAGGTTTAGTACAATTTTCATGGCAGGCACTAAATTGAGAGAGGGAGAGGAAAGTTAACAAAGGTTCCAAAGATATCTCAGTCAGCAAAGTGCTTCCCGCACAAACTTGAGCAACTGAGTTCACTCTCCACTACCATGTAAAATTCATGCAAATCTGTGATCCCAGCACTGGGGATGTGGAGATCCACAGAACTCCAGACCTTGCTGGCCAGCCAGCCTAACTAAACCATTGTGCCCCAGGTTCTGTGGGAGACCTTGCCTCAAAAAATAAGGTGCTGGAGAGGTTGTTCAACAGTTAAAAGCCTAGCTGCTCTTCCTGAGGACCCCAGTTCAGTTCCCAGCACCCACATAGTGACTAAAAACCATCCTTAACTTGAGTTCCTAGGTATCCAACACCCCCTCTTCCAACCTTCCTGGGCATTGCATAACACGGATGCACATACATGCATTCAGGCAAAACACTCATACTTATAAAATAAAAATAAATAAAAATCCTTTTTTAAAAAAGCTTATTTTATTTGAGCTTTTAAAATTTCATACAGTATTTCCCACTCACATGCAGACCTCCTCCCCATACATGCCTCTCCCTCCACCACAAAACCCTATGCACTCTGCCATACATGCTGAATCCTATTCATTTAGGTGTTTGTACCCAAATGTCCTTCTGCGTAAATGCATCCACTGGAGTCTAGTCAGGCCATCTAGTGATTGTATGTAAGTTTTACTCTCCCTCACCCAGTAGCAACCAGGCTCAAATAGTTCTCAATCTAGTGCTGACCCACCACCAATTGCTTGCCTCCCCTTTGGGTACTTGTTTAATTGAGCTGACGTGAGTCCTGTGTTGGAACCTGCTGCTACTGCACATGAGCAAGCCTCCAATGGCCTGGAAGCCTCCACCTCATAAGTTCATGAACCAGCCCTGGATCTTACAGTCTTTCCACCTCCTCTTCCACAATGGGCCCTGAGCTGTAGGTGGGTAGGGTTCCATATAGGAGTCCCATCCTACATTCTGCAGTCTCTTATTCTCCAAAATTTGGCAGGTTGAGGCCTTCTGTGTGTAACACACTCTGATGTACATGGAAGCCTCACTGTTGAGAGCTGAGGGGTGCATTAACACTCTCTTTACCCCTTATTCTGCTATGTTCCATGAGCCTTGAATGTAGGAATTCAACTGCAGATGTGTCACCTACCGGGCATCTCCCAAGTGTATATTCTCTGTAGCTGATTAGATGTGCAACTCTGCTGTAGCCTACATCTATTTCAAAAATAAGTTTCTTTGATGAGTGTTGTACAGCAGGAGGTCTCTTCTCCCTGGCACTGTGTTCCCTTCCACGCAGCTCCTAGGTATGCATATGCAGTAACATTCAGACACTCTACAGTACATTTCTCATAGGGTTCCTAAGGCATCACTCTTCCCTCTAGGTTTCCTAGCCCCCCTAGATTCACTCGTCTCTACTCTTTTTTATCACATCCAGCCTTCCTCCATGCCTAGACACAGTGCCCCCATTATTTCCACCCTCCCCCAAATACCTTCTAACTCCTGCCATCTTTCTGTTCCTGACCCCCCCAAATACCATTGTCCCTTGTATGTCCCTCCATCCTCTCCTTCCTGAAGATTGCTCATAATTTTTCCACCTCCATCAGGTAGCATCTGTTCCTCACTCTCTCCCTTTCAGTTTGTTTCTTTTCCTTTACCTCCATGTATCTTTTGCCTTTACCTGGCTCCTGGTGTTACTTAAGAATTAATATACTCACATGTAATGGATTTATTTTACATTCTACAAGTGAGGGAAAACATATTGCTTGTTTTTCTGCATTTGTGTTACTTCACTTATTATAACACTCTCTAGCTCCATCCATTTACCTGCAAATTTCATAATTTCATCTTTTCTTACTGCTGACTAGAACTCCATTGAATAGATATACCGCATTTTTATTAACCATTTTTCAGTTAAGGGGCATTTAGGTTGTTTCCATTTCTTAGCTATTATGAAGACAGCAGCAACAAATATGGATGCACAAATATGGAGGTATCTCTACAGTACGATGAGTCCGTTAGGTATTTGCCAAGGAGTGAAATCACTGGATCATATGGTAGGTTCATTTTTAGTTTTTTGAGGGTTCTCCACACTGCTTTCCATACAGGTTGCACTAGTTTGCATTCCCAGCCACAGTTAATGAGCGTTCCTTTTTCTCCCTGTCCTCTCCTGCATTTTGAGTCTTCTGTTCCCTTAATCTTGGCCAACCTGACTGGAGTAAGATGAAATCTTAAAGCAGTTTTGATTTGCATTTCTCTAAATGCTAAAGATGCTGAGCACTTTCTAAGGTTCTTCTAAGCCATTTTAATTTCTTTGCTTGAGAACTCCCTGTTTAAGTCTATTACCCATCTTTTTATTGGGTCATTTATCTTATTTCTTTCTTGAGTTATTGTGTATTCTGGATATTAATACTCTGTCGGATGTGTATCTGGTGAAGATTTTTTCCTACTTAGTGGGTTTCCTCTTCCCTTCCTTAGTTGTTTCTTTTGCTGTACAGAAACTTTGTAATTTAATGAGGCCACACTTATTGATTATTGACCTTAGTGCCTGAGTAGTTGGTGTCTGGTTTAGGAAGTCCTTTCCTATGCCTCTATCTTGAAGGGTGCTACCTATGTTTTATTCTAGCAGTTTCTAAGTTTCAGGTTTTATATTGAGATCTTTGATCCATTTCGAGTTGACTTTTGTGCAGGGTGAAAGATGAGGGTCAAGTTTCATTTTTCTGAAGTAGAGATCCAGTTTTGCCAGCACCACTTGTTGAAGATGCTCTTTCCTCCACTGTATGTTATTAGTGCCTTGTTGACTATCAGGTGGCTAAAATTATATAAACTTATGTTTGAGTCTTCTATTGTGTTCCATTAATCTACATGTCTATTTTGGGGCCAGTACCATGCTGTTTTGATGATTATAACTCTGTAACATAATTTGAAATCTGGTATGGTGACCCCCCCCAACATTGTTCTTTTTGCCTAAGATTGTTTTGGCTATCTGAGATCTTTTGTGATTCCATATGAATTTTAGGATTATTTTGTCAAGCTCTGTGAAGAGTGTCATGGGTATTTTGATTGGAATTGCACTGAATCTATAAATTGCTTTTGTTAAGATTGTCATTTTCACAATATTGATTCTACCAGCCCATGAGCATGGTAGGTCTTTCTATCTCCTAGTGTCTTTTCTATCTCTTTCTTTAGAGTTTTGAAACTTTCATTGTAGAGATCTTTAATGTCCTTGGTTAGGTTTATTCCTAAATATTTTTTTTGAGGCTATTGAGAATGGGAGGGTTTCCTCTAGTACTTTTTCTGATTGCTTGTTATTGCTATATAGAAATGCTACTGATTTTTGTAAGTTGATTTTGTATCCTGCCAATTTACTGAAAGCATTTATCAATTCTAACAGTTTTTCTAGTGGAATTTTTTGAATCTCATATACATCATATCATATTATTTGCGAAAAGTGATAATTTGACCACTTCTTTTCCAGTTGGTACTCCTTTTATTTCCTTCTCTTGACTTATTGTTCTAGTGAGAGTTTCAAGCACTGTATTGAAAAGGGGCAGAGATAGTGGACAGCCTGTCTGGTTCCTGATTTTAAAGGGAATACTTCCAGGTTTTCTCCATTTATGGTGATGTTGGCTATAGGTTTGTTGTAAACAGCTTTAATTATGTTGTGGTAGGTTCCCTCTAGACCAACTCCTTCTAGAACTTTTAACATAAATGCATATTGGATGTTGTCAAATGCCTTTTCTGCATCTATTAAGATGATCATGTTGTTTTTGTCTTTAAGTCCGTTTATATGTATTACATTTATTGACTTATGAATGCTGAACCATCGCTGCATCTCTGGAATAAAGCCAACTTCATCATGATGGATGATCTTTTTGATGTTTGTCTGTATGCAGTTTGCAAGTATTTTGTTGAGTATCTTTGCATCTATATTCATTAAAGATATGGATCTACAGTTTTCTTTTTGTTGTATCTTTACCTGGTTTTGTTATTAGAATGATACTGGCTTCATAGAAGGCGTTTGGGAGTTCTCCTTCTGTTTCTATCTTTTTGA